CCCAAAAAAAAAACCCCAAAAAAAACAACACACAACATAACACAGCATTCTCGACATAACCAGGTTCACCGTTAACGTACTCTACTACGGCCTCAGCCTAAACCTAGAGAACCTCTCTGGCTCCCTCTACCTCAACTTTCTGATCAGTCTCTCCGTGGAAGTAGCGGGCTTTGCTTTCTGCTACGTACTTCTGGACCGGGCCGGGAGGAAAGCCCTCATGATTGGTAGATATTGTTATAGTTATTAATTTCACAATTATATTATTATTACACATTTATTATTGTTATTACTATTTTTATTATAATTATAATAATAATAATAGTAATAATAATAATAATAATTAGTAGTAGTAGTAATGATAAAAATAATGGATTGCATCTATATAGCGCATATCCACTTATGCAATGCTCTATGCGCTTAACATGATACATAATATTATGGATTAACAAATCAATTTTAAAGGTACATAGTGTTACATACTCATGCAAACACATATTCACTCACGCACGCACCACACACACATACATACACACATACGTACATATGCACATACGCTCATACAAACTCACAACGATCTACAGCTTGGATGCATTCTGTCTAATTGAAATATGATGAAAATAGAAATGATTTTAGTTTCTTCTTAAAAATTTCTAGATTTTCTGCTTCTCTGGTAGTTTTTGAAAGCCTATTCCTAACAAGTGGGGCAAAATATGAAAAAGAGCATTGGCCATATGATTTGTAATTTATTTTCCATCAAAGTTGCCGGTTGTTGCAATATTCTCCAAAGCTGCTTTCCGCATTGTGTGTCCGAAGAAATTTGCCTGTCACTTTTTATATTCGAAATAAGCTGTCTTCTACAATTTGCTTCAACCAAGACTTCTTTGTTTGTCTTTCTAGCTGTCCATGGGATACGTAGCATGCATCTTATGAACCACAACTCTGTCGACACCATTGTTCTTTCCAGCTGTTTATTGATTGTCTATGCTTCGCACCCGTATACTAGGATTGGCCCGATGTAACTTTACATCTTAGATTGTTGATATTATGCCCCCCTATCGAGATACCTGGCATTTCTTCTATATGTCTCATGATATTTTCACTATACAGGGAGAACAGGTCTGGAGAAAGTACACACCCTTGTCTGACTCCTCTTTTAATCTGTATGTATTTGCTGATGTCGTTTTCTATTCTCATTGCAGCAGTGTGATCCCAGTACATGTTCTTGATAATCCTTAAGTCATTCCCGCCAATATTGAGGACTTCCAGCATGTCGATGATCATCATTACTATTGTCATTATTATCATTAGCCTACTATACTTATTACTTTTTGTTGATACTGTTATAATAAATATTTTCTTGGTAGTAGCAATAGTACATTATGCTATTGTAGTAGTAGTAGTAGTAGTAGTAGTAGTAGTAGTAGTAGTAGTAGTAGTAGTAGTAGTAGTAGTAGTAGTAGTAGTAGTAGTAGTAGTAGTAGTAGTAGTAGTAGTAGTAGTAGATTCACATAAAAAATTGTTTGTTGGCTGGGATTTTTTTTTGCCTGTGGGTTCTTTAATGTGTGTGTGTGTGTGTGTGTGTGTGTGTGTGTGTGTGTGTGTGTGTGTGTGTGTGTGTGTGTGTGTGTGTGTGTGTGTGTGTGTTTAAGTGCATTTTGCGTGTTTTTCCTCAGGCTCATCATTTATTGAACCTGATCCTTTCTTGCAGGTTGCATGTTTGTTGGTTCTCTGGCGTGTCTTTGTGTAACGTTCCCCGTCGTGTTTGGAAATGCAGGTGAGTATATATAATATATTATATCTTATGGGGTATGTTGTATTATCTTATGATGCGAATTGATGTATATTGTGTGGTATGTTATCGTATGGAGTATATTTTTATATCTTATGGGGTACGTTGTTATATCGTATGAGATATGTTGTTATAATTATCGTATTTGGTGAATTATTACATCTTATGTGGTATGTTGTTATATCTTATTATATATTTTATGGGGTATATTGTTGTATATTATAGGCTGATTTGTTACTGTATATCTTATGGGGTACATTGTTTATTCTTATAGAGTATAATATTGTTTTATCTTATAAGGTGAATTGTTATATCTTATGGGGTACATTGTTGTATCTTATTGGGTATATTGTTATATCTTATGGGGTACATTGTTGTATCTTATAGGGTAAATAGTTATATCTCATGTAGTGTGTTGTTATCTATTATGGGGTACTCTGTAATATCTTATCGGGTACGTCGTTGAAATTATCTTATGTGGTACGTTGTTATAATTATCTTATGGGGGTGAACTGGTATATCTTATGGGGTATATTGTTATATCCCATTAGATGAATTGTTATATCTTATGGGGTATGTTATCGTATAGGGTATGTTATTATATCTTATGGGGTGAATTGTTGCATCTTAGAAGGGGAATTGTTGTATCTTAAGGGTTTAATTGTTATATCTTATGGGGTGAATGGTTATATCTTAAGGGGTATGTTGTTATACCTTATGGGGTATGCTGTTGTATCGTATGGGGTATATTGTGATATCTTAAGGGATGAATTGTTTTATCTTATATGGTGAATTGTTATATCTTATGGGGCATATTGTTTTTCTTATGGGTATGCTGTTATATCGTATTGGGTACGCTGTAGCCTGGATGGTATTGTGTTCTAAGGTACAGATGGCCCCAGCATGAGCCCCTAGATAGTTAATAAATGATGCGTTCTTGACCAGAGATCCCACCACTTGTATAACTTTACAATGTTGAAAAGGGTGTAAAAGAAAGAGAAAAAACAACAACGTACAAATATATACCAGTACCAACCAGTGCTCAAATAAAATCTGTCTCGGCTGTTTACAGGTCTGCATTTTTTAGAAGGGTGTACGGTAGTTCCACTATAAGCTTACGGTACTGCTATTGTCAGACAATGTTATTTCGTATTATATTATGTTCTAGTAAAGGCGTTTAACGGCACTAATATTGCATCTTGTGACACAATTAGGTCATATTAAGTGCCGAAGATTAGAGGTGTTACAAGAGTGTAACATACACTAAAAAGAAGCAAGAGATGTAAGGACAATAGATGTTTGATGGGAAAGAAGGAGCAAGCATACCAGTGCACCCACAACGATGTATTTTGGAAATATGACAAAGAAGTTCTTTGAGCAAGACAGCACTTCCTCGTCTGTTCCTTCCAGAAATGCCACAGTTTACTGGACTTATACGGCATGATTTTTTAAAATAAATCATTCATGGACCTATACGTTGAAGTTTCACTTTGTTGTATCCATTCTATAATGATAATGTACAGTTGTGCTTTCATTCTTTTTTCTCTTCACATCTTTCCTTCCTACCACCTTGACTTCTTTTCTCTCCTTTTTTACCGTCCAATATCGCTCTCCTTTTCATTATACCTACCTCCTTCCCTTTCCCCCCCCCCCCCCAAAAAAAAAGAAACAACGTAAAACAAAACAACACAACAACAACAACAACAACTACAACAACAACAACAACAACAACAACAGCAACAACAACAGCAATTCAACAACAACAACGCCCAAAAAATAAAAACCAAAATACCCCCCCCCCCAAAAAAAAAGATCCCCAAAACAACCCAAAACAATGTTTTAAAATCAATTTCTCTCTACTCTTTCATAATTATGTTTCTCACCTCTCCACCCCGTCAGACCAGCAATGGATCGTGACGACCCTGTGTATGGTGGGTAAGATGTGTGTGGGCAGCTGCTACGCCATTCTGTTCATCATGTCTGTAGAACTGTTCCCTACCGTTGTCCGGAACTCGGCGCTGGGCGCCTGCATGGTCTTCGAAAATGTCGCCGGGATGGTCGCTCCGTATATCACTGACTTGGTAAGGACGGGGTTTTTTTTTTACTCATCATCACTTCCTATAATCATCATCATCCAGTGCCAGATCTGCGACAGACATCGGCGATCATGGTTCTCCATTCATTTCTTTGCTCGGATGCTCTTAAAAAAGCTACGTTTCCCTGATCTTTCCTTGTCACCCACTTCTTCAGGTGCCCCAAGTATGTTGCTCTGGGCCTACACTTGCCTCGCTTGCCCTCAATCTTGCCAGTGAGAGCTAGATGTTCAAGACCCTTGTATGTCTATTCAGGTATCTTAAAAACTACATTTGTCGTTTCCTGGTGGTTTTTAACAGTGAGCGTCCCACGTGGGCTTCATCAAGCACTACCTCTTTTAGTTTCTTTTCCTTCCACGATGCTCTTCCTATACCTAATTTAAATACGCATGCTATACTCTCAAAGAAGAGGTAATCCTGGCGATCACGCAGAAGATGGATTAGGGGAGTCAAGGAAACCCTGAGAAATTATATTATTTCTATTGAAAGAGCTGCAAAGCTTGCCTACCATAGAAAACGACATCTTCTCTCGACGCTTAGCGACAACAGAGGATGAAAAAGTAGTAGTAGTGCTTCAGGATATAGGCAATCAACGAGCAAACACTTTCCACCTTTCTCTATCCTGATCTAGCTTCTTGATTTCTTCACACTTTTCTGTAAATCATTCTCTGTGATTCTTCTTTAGTTTCCAAGTGGCCTTTCCTTTGGTCTCTTTCTCTGTGGATTTTAAATCAATACTTCCTTCGTTTTACAGCTGCCTGACTTCCTGGGAGAATATTATTCAATTTATCGCCACCACCTTCTTCCCGCTTGATCTTTTACCCAGGGACAACGCTTTTAATTTAGTTTAATAATTCTAATAAAAGAGTCTTTCGGCACTTGCAATTAAGATCCCAAATTAAATGTTCCGTTCTGCTCTATCAAAATTGCAACATTATTTGAAGTCGTTATCAAGATATCCAAAGAATTGCATTCGAAAAAGCTTGACCTATCATTGTTGTGAAACTCTAAATTTTTGGCGTAACATTTCTGAAAACTAAGCACTGAGCAGATAGACCGTCGTAATTCTGAGGTAGTGTAGGATAGTTGAGTCCTCCCCCCTCCCCCGCCCACCCCCATCTCCTCCCCGCACTATTCCACCCCCACTTTCTTCAATCCACAACTCACCCCCCCCCCCCCACCTGTTCATAAGGGAATGGAAAGATGGAAAGAAAAACAATCGGCGCATGAGACAAGCACCCCCCCCCCCCCCCCTGTTCATATGGGAATGGAGAGAAAAACAATCGGCGCATGAGACAAGCACCGCCCCACCCCTCCCCCTCCCTTAAAAAAAGAAAGAAAGAAGATAAAGAGAAAAGAAAGCACGATTTTTTTCTTTAATCAGAGCAAATCAAGCCACCAAAAAAAAATTAAAATGTTTGAGCAAACCACTCAAAACAAAAAAAATGCTTTAAAAAAAAAATAAAAGTAAACAAAAACAAGCACACGTCAACTAATCAACTTTTCACTTGGACCTCCCCAGGGTCTCACAACAACCCACACAGAGATCTCTCAGGCAGTGCCATTGCTGGTGTTCGGAGGACTCGGTGTAGTGACCGCCATTGCGTCCCTTTATCTACCCGAAACGCTGGGCAAACCTCTCCCAGAGACCTTTCAAGACGCCATTGACTTATCGTCTGGTGGAAAGAATAAAAAAGAAAGACAGGGCGAGAAATAGACGGCACAATCAAAATAAATAATTATAAATCTTTACCTTTTTTGTTGTGTTTTTAACGCGCGGGACACGTTAAAAATTTCAGTTTTGCAGGAATTAATTTTGAATTTTGCCTAGTTGGCGGCCGAAGCAGACGACAGAACATGGTTCTAGAGCAGGAACGGAGGTGAAAGGAGACAATTATTGTAGAGAAGAATAATTCATTTCGCTGTCAGGTTTCGAACCCGGGTCCTATTGAATGAGTTGCAAACACCTTAACCTCTAGACCACGAAAGCCCCCATATGTATTAGATACATGTGCTCGATAAAAAATGTTCTCTCTACTAGGGAATTGAATTCGGATCTCTCTCTTGATAGATACAGTGAAGCCCATAACCGCTACACCACAGAAACCAGCAGAGAGCATTGAAAGCCCAAACCAAACCAATGTCCAAGAATACCCGGTAGGGGATTTCACTCACGGTCGATCTGCATCTTAGTCTAGCATGATGCCAACCCAGGTATCAGTATCAGTAGGAGTATGCCATACATATTATCATAATGTCTTCAAATTCTCTCTCTCTCTCTCTCTCTCTGTCTCTCTCTCTCTCTATCTCTCTATCTCTCTCTCTCTCTCTCTCTCCCCGGGGTGTCGGTAGCCTAGTGGTTAGGCTACCAGACTCGTAATCGTGAGATTGCGGGTTTGGAGGTTCGACGTTGTGTCCTTGGGAAAGACACTTTACATGAATTTCCCATTTGGCTCGGTCCTTTCGGAGACGGACGTTAAACTAGGAGGCCCCGCCTCTTAAATAACCTAATAGTGCTGATAGGGACGTTAAACCCATACCATTTCACCATTTCTCTCCCCCCCCCTCCTCTCTCTCTCTCTCTCTCTCTCTCTCTCTCTCTCTCTCTCTCTCTCTCTCTCTCTCTCTCTCTGGCATCATAAGTGGTCAGCCATTACGACGGCACGGAGAAACTCAGTACTCACTCGGGGGTCCTTGAAAAGTGCTGATCGTGGATCATTGAAATGACCCAACAGACGTGTTTGGCATGATAGTCGGCAGGGCATTTCAGGAATACGTGGTCCAATCATCAATGACTTGTCTTCCTCTTTGTAGGCTCAACAGGGCGGATCTGGGTGGTAGTCAGCTGGCGCGATTTCGTATAGTGTAGGTTAGGTACGATCTCAGCTTGGGCGAGTTTCCACTAGTTCTCATTAAGTAATTCTTCAGTCAGAATTGACCTCATTAACCATAGCAGAAGCCACAGTCGTCTTAAACATACTGCTTCTATTTCTTTGACTTTAAGAATTAATAACATATTTGGTCCCGCTTTTAAGCACAAGGGGGCTATCCCGAAAAATGCCGTTTTGAGTAAATCGAACGTAAAGTTTTTGCCCCTTATTCAGCTTCTTTAAAAGACAAGGATAGTGTTCTCCATAACCAAACAAACATACACACCAATGAAACCAAACTTCTCCTACAGGTAAGGTAACGCCCACTTTTGGTGTAGGTCAAGATTTCTGGAAACCCCCGAAATCTGGGCTAGCCCCGCTTGTCCTTAAAAGCGACCATTTATTGCTTCTACAGACGCACTGCGGGCGGTTCCAGGATGCCACTGATAGGTCCTACTTCTTTTTTTTCCGTCTGCTGTTTCTGTTTGTCTGTCTTTCTTCTTCCCTGCATTTTACGACTGTTATTGTGTCGTTGTGCTTCAGTTTTCTCAAACCCAAACTCAAGCAGCAGAAGCATTGGTCATAGTCAGATGAACTATTGTTGTATTATTATTATCATCATCTATTCTATGTCGCAAATCAAGTTTAAGACACAGTCTCGGATTCAAACCAGGGACATACACTCCGAAGCCCAGCATGATACCAACTAAGCCCCAGTCCACAGAAGTGCCTAACTAGTCTAGCTATCAGTCTAATACCACATACCCTGGCACGCACACGCAGTAGAACATACATACCAACAACCAAATGTTGTCAAGTTCAGCCTCAGGGTCAACCAGCATAACCTCTACATAAAATAGTAAAACCCTGATTACACAAACTTCAGAGAATTTCTTCAAGTCAAATAGAATTCGTGTTAAGGACTTAGCAGTGTATAAGAATAAGGACGGGGGGTTTCCAGGGATTTGAATTCCTTTCAGGAAAACGGGAAGAATTTTGTGATGAAAGGCTTCTTGTTTTGACGTCTACCTTACAGTGATATGTGAAACACCATGGTGAAATCAGGCGCACATCAAAATAATGAAACGGAATAACAACCCTTTTCCGTCCATTTGGCAATTTTTTTCGAAATTTTTCTTTTTGACTCAACACCTTTCAGGCCCATTCAAAAGCACGTTTCTGTGTCGTTTATACTGGAAAAATGTTGATTTCATTACAAATAATTTTGATTTTGCAGTTTTCAAGGACTCTTAAGCTTTGGAAGTAACCAAAGTTTGGCGACTATTTTCTCGTAATTTCACATCTGAAACTAAGCAACCCCCACCTCCTTTAACCTAATATATTTCAACTTCTACTTCTAGTCAAAATAGATGGGTATTTCTATCATCGAACGTAAGATCAATGGCCAAGCTTTAAGTTTAAGATGATGACAAGTACTCCACATGCCCAAGAATTTACAAGCTCCCGATTCCACCGCGCTGTGACACATATTGTCAGGCATGAATGGTGACGCCTGTAGCTATAAGTTTCTTTTTTTAGCTTAAGTAAGTTTTACACCACTTACAACAAACAGGTCATATAAATGCTAAAGAGAAGATGTGTCAATAGAGAACTACATACAAAGAAAAGAAGAAAGAAAGAGAGAAAGGGAGAGCAGATATTTGATAGGAAAGAGGGAGAAAGCCACACCAGAGCTTCAGCCAACAAACCACCCATATCGAAAAAAAAAAGAAGCTTAAGGAGTAGAGTTGACTACACACAGAGTTTAGTTTTAGTAAGAGTATTACGGCACTTGCAACACAATAAGATCATATAAGTGCCGAAGATTAGAGGTGTTACAAGAGAGTAACAAACATAAAATAAGGGGGAGGGGAGATAAAAAGACAATAGATGTTTGATAGGAAAGAAGAAGCAAACCACACCAGAGCACCTGCCTACCACCCACACACTGAGAGATAGAAACCACTCACACCTGGCAGGATGAAATAGATGATAGCATAAGAATTATTAGATGGAAGGATAGAATAGAATACAAAACAAAAAAAACAACAAAACAACAACCAAAAAACCCTGTAGAGACTAGACAACAAAAACAACTTTTCATACAACAATTTCACAAACAAGTGTCAAAGGAGTGATTAATGTCTCAAGGTTGTTATTTTGTTTGCAGTGGCATGAAACAAATAATTTCTACATTAAAGTTACCGTTTTTCTCTTCAAATTCTTTTAATAAACGAGCAATAATTATTTCATCAAGTACACACCCAAGAACACCACAACTACTCCAGAACCATTCTGCTCAGCCAGTCCAAAAAGGAAGATAATATATACACAGAAGTCAACATGCATACATAATATAAACGTACATTAAGCTTTTAAAAAAATGTTTCAAAACAGTGAATGAAATTGCTGTTTTTGTCATATCAATAGCATGAGAATCTGGAATTGAAAGATTTTTTCAGGAACAAAATGGTCACTGGTACAAGTGACCCAGACACACACAAATTCCCTTGTGTTCAGTTTATAATTAAAAGAAATAAATCAAAATCAATCATTAAGAAAAAACAAACAAACAAACAAACAAATTCAGCCAACACACAAAGAAACACACACAAAAAAGGAAATAAGATATGAAAGGATACTACATATATTATTACCAGAAAAACATACACTATGGGTGCCATTTAAACACAAGTAAAATTTCTGGAGCCTGTTGGACTGAGAATAAAGCAGCACATTTACATCACAAACACGCACAATACATAAGGTAAAGAGGGACAGAAACCATTGTTTTGAGAAAAATACAGTTTCAAAACATGCCATACTGACTGTAATGATTTTTTTATAAATTCGAAATCAAAACACCCCTAACTTACAACAAATGCAAACTCATGACAAACCTTGCAAACTCATGACAAACCTTGCAAACTCATGACAAACCATGACATGACCCACGTTGCTGGTTAACCTTACTCACTCTTTAGAGTACATAGTTAAAAAAAACATCCTTTGCTTTAAAAGAAAAGCCCTGCACACAAAGCATAATTTCAACAGTCTACACATTCGCTGGTGGCTTTGAGCTGGGGTCTTTTAAGTTTCAGAAATCGGCGGCAAAGGGCAGCTGTATTCCCCTCACCACCTGGTCACTCACAAGTTGCATGGTCATCTCTCAAAAAACATGGAGAAATTGAGCAGCCAGCAAAGTGTATGTCCTCGCCACAGGCAGGCTTACGTGATACCAAACACAAACAAATGACTATTAATGCACATGTATTTCACCCAGATAGTCACAATTTGGATTATCCACGAGGCGAGACCCTTCGACCCTACCCATTAGTGGGCTAACCTGCGTGTAACACGATATATCATTCCAGAAGACGGACAGATGTATGTATCCAAATAAACCTCTAACCCCCCCCCCCCTTCCCCAACAAAAATCGAATTCACGTAGTCTGATTGTAATGGAAAGGAGGAGCCTTAGAGTCATTACACCAGAGGTGCCAGTAAATGCCAATATGATTATGAAGAGGCACAGCATTTGTGAAACAATTTTTTGACAAACTGACGTACTTTCAGTAGCAAATTATCTGTCACTCCCAGAAAAAGGTAAGGCCACAAGATGCATATAGTAAATAATACAACACATTTTTATACCTGCTTAGCTGTCATATTTACTCATCTTTTTAAAAAAAAGTAAAATCTACAAGTGTTGAACAATTCATTTTTCAGCTGTTTTGTCATCCTAAAAAATATTTGCATCAAAATAAAATACTCATCCATAGATGCTGATAGTCCAAATTAATAGTCACAAAACTAAGAAAGCTGCCTGCAAAAACCAAAATTTCTTTTTCTTATAAAATGTGCCACAAACAACACACATTTCCCTCATCTCTCCCATTAACAAACTACTTTGAAAGTATCACCTGTAATATTGAGGAATAATCATCAGTCAATCCCAGTTTTCTAACAAACTCACCAAAACTTCATGGACATACTGTACAGAAAAAGAGGGTGCTGCATCCATCATAACAAACAGGGTTGATATTCAGAAGCAAGATTCTTTTAAGTCAGCTTATTCAAAATTATGATCACATTCAAAGAAAAGTGCAGGTTTCTGGAGAAAATTCATACATAAAAGCTTTTGACTCACAGGTAAAAAGCACAAATGCTCTGACTCAGGATGGCAGTGAAGCTCTGGTATTCATGGAAAAAAAAAGAAATGGCTTTAAAAATGCACAAAAGAAGGAAGCAAAATCCAAGTGATTCCGCATTTATTTCTGAATAGGGCAGGGCTATTATTCATATTGATGTGAGTTTATGGGTCTACCATCAATCTTTTCCTCTTTTAGAATATCACGAAACTTAATATATATAAACCAAGCTTTAGTGGATGATTTTACATTTCTTAAGCTTATCAGATACAGCTATATTTTCAAAATATATAATAAAAATCCTAAACAAAATAAATAAACCAAAAAGTGTTATGAAAGGGCAGAATACAATGTGTGTACACACTTACACACACTCACACACACACCAGATATACTCCAAGCCAGTGAAATGAAATTATCCAATCACAAATCAATGCATACACATTCATTCATTTATTCTGTTCTAAGGGAATTCTGCAATAATTCGGATGCATACATCTGTACAATACTACAACATCACAAACAACACAGTAGGATTCAAGGCAACAGATAATAACTTGTGAACTTGGTTTTCACACAGACAATCATTGCAGTAAGCAAACAACAAACAGCACCTCTTGCATACCTCGGGAATGACTACAAAAAGTTCCCTCATTTCACATTTATCTAAAATAATAACCAAGATATATCAGAACGTATAAAAGCGTCCTCGGTTAACTTTAATATTCACACAGCCTAAAGACGATTTGCAAATACTAAAACACGGGGTCCGCTGAATTTCAGTCTCTGGTAGTTTTCAGTTGTCTTCAAAATCCTTTAATTACATGTATTTCTTCCATTTTAAGAGACGATTATTAAAAAATTTCATTGTGTGAAGCCAACCTTTGACTTTCAATCCCTATAGTCTGTAAAATACAATAAGTACACGGGACCTACGAACATTTTATGTTTAAATTCAAAAGGCAAAGAGCCCAAACTCATCTACCATTAGACCACAGGCATAAAGAACCTGAGCCTTTTCCATGGACATGCTAAGGCCCCTGGAAAAAAGATCACCTTGGTGTAAGACAATAGAAAATACTTCAAGAGTTATGGCATTCTCTCCAAATTCATACACCAAAAAAAACACAACTCATTCTCAGCTTGAGGAATGACATGTACCAGAATCATATTCTTAACCATGAGTTTTTAAAAAATGTATCTTGGTTTTAGAAAAAAACAACAACGAAAATTTCAACATTAGACAACCACCCAAGAAAAAAAAATCCAAAAACCTCTTTGATCTCCAAATAGCATACTTTTCAGATTTATAGCTCTGAGCTAAAAAAAAACTCAGTCACTTTAACCCTTCATCAAAACACAGCACAAATACGAAGTAAACACAAAACATTCCATACCAATGAGCAATTTGAAGCAAAAAGGAAAGCAGGAACAACTTGAGAAAAAAATAAAAACAAATGAAATACACAACAAAAACAAAAAGAGAATGACAAAAAAAATGCTGAGACAAAAACAGAGCTAAAAAGAAAACCTGCCCCTTACAAGTAGCAGAGATCCCCGCCTGACAAATCTGCAGCTTGTTTTTAACTCTTTGAAGACGCACCCACTTTCCCTTTCTCGATACTTTTGCCCTTTTTTTTACCAGGTCACCATTTTTTTCCTATCAACAGTACAAAAATCACACTTACACCACTAAAAAGAGGAATTTCTCTATTTTTCTCCAGTACCAATCAATCATACATTCACAATGCCAGTCTTACCTTGATCAAGGTTGCAAGATCAGTATAGTTGCCCTCAAAAGAAACATTTTTTGGACAAGACTTGGGGTCAGGTAGATCTACCAACCAATGGTACAGATTCATCATCATAATCATCTTAACGTTCTTCTTTTAACTCTAAATCTAACTCCTCATCACTGCCAACATCCATAAACAACCCCAAAACTTCTTCGGTCCCCATCAAACCACGTCGCCTGGAGCTCGCTAATTTTGATAAAAACTGCGACATTTTGTGCGAAACAATGGGCCTAAAACAAACGCCACGCAAAGCTATCCTAATTCGAAAGCAAATAGAGGGAATCAACCAAATTTTACGGCTTTGGACAAGCCTTTCAATGATATAGGGTTGCCACCTTAGATCACTAGTTTAGCAAATTAACGCGTTCAAAATTGTCAGGGGATTATCCGCTGACACGACGACAATGGTAGGTTCCCCCCCCCCCCCGCTGACGCATCTTCAAAGAGTTAAAGCAAGCATGGCTGAAAGGAAAGTAATGACCTGCCACAGCACGCTTCAATTCATATTTCTAAACAATCCTGTTTCGGAACAAAACTAGTTTCCTTTGTTTTAAATGCAGGTAACTTTTTGGGTTTGAACATGGCAAGGAAATTTTGCGAAACAGAAAATCCAAAACACATCTGAAAATAAATTGCGATACAAACATTAATAAGCATGCTAAAGACGTTAATGAAAGTCACTTAAAACCTTTTTTAAAGGCTTTCTTCATTTCAAGACAAATACAGTCCATGTTCCAAACAAAAAGATCAGTAGAAATTAACCAACAAACCCTGTGAAACCCAAAACAGAGGTCAAAGCTTCGATGTGCAAATACAAAATTTAAGACTCAAAGTACAATAAATGAAAAAAAAAGAATTTTTATCAAGTCAGTGCCTCTGTAAAGAGTGGTTATTAATTCAGAGAACATTTCAAGTTTCAGGTTATAGACAAAATACTGTACATCTGAACTTTTAACAATTTCAAGTCATGCTGTGGTACGGGTTTATTATGCCATTCATTAGGAACTGTTGTTTCCAAGACAAAAGAGAGGGTCAGGTAATCAGTCTGTAGAGTACAAGTATCAGACATATCTCAGAGAGGGAAAAAATGGTTGGAAAAGGTATGTTATTCCAATCAGAGATTTGAAATACAAACAAATCTTAAGTACCCACACACAACAAGCCGGGCTCATTTTTCAAAACTGACATTCCAGTACACAACTAAATGGTTGCTTTCTGTACAGACTAATGTTAATATCATTGATGTTTATAAAACCTGTGACTTTGCCCACAAATGCCTATCCACATCGGGAGAAAAAGCTCAACAGCTTACACGGGAGATGTCTTAGGTTCAGTTTTTTAAAAACATGGCCAGAAAAGATTTAACAGCACGGATATTGGCAACATCAGGAGTTCCTAGGGTACTGTATACTGGACCATGGGGATGGGAAAATACCAATAGACCAATCCATCAAGATTTGAAGAATACAAAAAGGAAAAAAAAGAGGCAAAACTAAGACCCAAAATCCTACAAGACAGAAACGACTTCATCTGAGATCAATTTAACAACCTGGGAACAGACAACCAAATATCAGTGCTAATGGAAACAGGAACTCAAAACAAATCTCAGGATGAAAGAAAAAGAAGAAGCAACAAAGGCATATATACGCAGCATCAGAAGTGATGTGAGAGTGCAGAATATTCATTCCTCCCCCCACAGCAACCAGCACTTTCCGGCATGCAGCGGCTCAATCAGCCACACACACATTATCATCACAGGACACGAGATGACGACCGATTCAGTACAAACACTATCATCAGAGAAGACGGAACAGCCCCTCCTCCTACTGTCAAACTCGCAATAAGGAGTATTTTAGCTGTACTTCCAAAACACATTTATTATTAATAGAAAGACTCCCTTTTTAACATTTAGTCCTTATAGTACACCAGGTTCTTTTTCAGTCTTAATTACAACCAAGAATGATTTATCTTTGAACATTGAAATTCTCCCTGAAAGTTAGAGAAAATAAAAAATAAAAAAATAGGCTGAAGACCTGTCCGACCATCCACCCAGAGCTATTGGAAATGTTCCTCCCTTTTCTCAGTTGTAAAAATAAAGACTTCATCATCTTCTCACTCATTATCACATTGCAGCATGATCCTTCACACACATATGATTATAAATAGTAAGGCCAGACAATGACAGTGACAACCGTGGACTGTGGTGTAGCGTGTAAAATGATCTAGCCGCAGCAGCCTGACTTCTGTGGAGGTTGCTCCGTGGAATCGTCCACCACTAAGACCGCACTCTTTCTGTTGGTGCTCCCAGGTCTTCCTCCTTTCAACGTGCTTGTTGTCTCCGCTTTCTCAATCATGCCTGCAAGAATGGAATAAAGAGAGTACAAATTAAGAAAGGCAGATATAACACATATATATCCCATTCACATTTCAAGGTAATTGGAAATGATATGAATTTAATGCACCTATTGACAATGTAAAGTCAGTTAACATGTGAGGGCTCCTCACATCACATCCACAATAGACAGCACTAGCGGAGTAGCATACCGAGTGCCCAATATTAATTCGTTTTCCACGAGTGCAAAGGGCGCTCTAAAAAATCAGCGGACCGCTTCCGAGGAGTAGGTCAAATGATTCACTAGTACCGTCCGCTATGCATCCAAGATGCATTGCTGATCACCCAGAGTTCAGAATATCAGGCGCTGATGTGTCCGCAATTCGTAGACAAGAAGTGGCTGCCCAACAAGCCAGACCTAATGATATGCTGGTTGAACAGTAGTGTCTGAGCAAACACTCGATAGGCCTTGATCTAGGCCTACTGATTCATTGCCATATCGAGAAATGACAACATACAGACAGAAACAAAACAGGACCAATATAAATGGTACCAAACTATAAGAAGACAGAAACAGTCTCATTTCGGTACGGTTTAACACTATACTGACACAAACAAAACATGACAGCTGGATTGAAAGATTAATTTAGCTGGAGTTGTCGTAGCGTACAGTGAGTTAGCAAAATAAAGCTGCATTTTGTTTAAAACAGAATTGGACAAAAGGCAACACTAAGAGCACAAGGCACAGTCCACACAAGAGTGTCCAGCAACCATCTACTCACTAGCTGAAAAAGAAAGAAAGGAAAAAGACAGATATGATGTATCAGAGTTGATATTACATTTCAACTTCACTGACAACAAATCATTCTGCTTTTAGTAAGTGTTTTACGGTACTTGTAACACAATAAGGTCATATAAGTGCTGAAGATTAGAGGTGTTACAAGAGAGTAACAAACACAAAAAAGGAGGAGAAATAAGGACGACAGATGTTTGTTAGGAAAGAAGAAGCAAACCACACCAGAGCACCTGCAAACAACCCACACAAATCATTCCTATTGCAAGGAAAAAATTGATACTAAAATTTTATTGATCTCAACCAGTATCAAAGTTACTAATTGTGCTCATGAAGGAGACAAAATGACCAAGCATATTGTTTACTAAAACAACGGGAGACCCCAACCTGTTCAAGCATCACCCCTCATTAAAAGAGGTAGAAAACAAATCTACAGACACAGCAATCAGATATAAAATGAAAGGTCACAACGAACACAAATGGCACCCCCCCCCCCCCAACCTATAAACAGATACCCTGGACAGTCCAAATAAAGGAGAAACATGACCTACTTTTGCTCAAGTCTAAAAACAACTCTTCTATGCCCCTGTTCAACTTTGCTGATGTGTGAAAATGTTTTGCTCCAACCGAGGCAGCATACCTGAAAGAAAAAGGAAAGGCGTTACTGGCTCAGAGCTTTCAAAAGAAAAAAACAAACAACAAAAACCCACAACATTCATACTGTTGATAGACCCTAATACCATTTAATTATCATACATACTGTCTTTGTATGGGTTGAAGACTGGGATCCTAAAGAAACCAGATTCTAAAAAACTCTACAATAAAACTGCAAACAGGTAATGCAAATGTAACTGAACAATCATGCTGAAAATCCTTCCTACTCAGATTTTTACACAGAACAAAGCACAGCATTTTAAACTTTTTTTGTATCATAAACATGATCCACATAACCATTTCATCAATCTTTAAATTGTGTTTAATCAAACATTTTTTAGTCTAACCATAAAAGGTTAAAAAAATCCAATTACTAAGACAAATGTACCCAAATGAGACCATAGTTCTCTGAGTACATCAGCTCAACAAGAAAAAAAAAGAGCATTACGCTAGCCTCACTTTTTCTTCAAATAACAATCCAATGAGGAAAAGACACTGTAACTGGAACTTTCATTCAGAGCTGTAGGATGTACTTAACTCACCCAGCCCTAACGCTGATAATATCAGTATGCGTGCGCAACGCTCTAACCCTGACGCCTACAGTAGCGGTACGGTATGGAAAATTTCGCTCCCGTGACAGAAAACACCACTTTTGTGTGAAGCAAACTAAAGCCTAATTGGAAGAGTAACTATTTTTCATTTGAAACAGACTATGACCAGAAGGGCAAGCCCAAATTTAGAACAAAGAAAGCTAAATTCGTGAACCATGTGTGGGGGTGCGAAATTTGAACGCACTTCCTTTCTTCATTTTTTATTTACCTTTCGACTCTGTATATAGACCTTTTTCCACAGAGTACTGCATAAAAACTGACAAATATTGCCTTCAAAGTTTCAAAACACACAAATAAAGGTTTGATTGAAATGTGTACCAAATTTGGGTAGGATATGTTAAGAATTTAGCATTTTTTTTCAATTTTTCAAAAAGGGATAAAAATCTCTAAGGAGAGCTAACAAGCCAGAAGTGTAGGCTTAGGGTTGAGTGAGTTAAGCAAAAGGTCAATATTGAAGAACACAACAACTCAATGACACAAACACCTGAGCTTCATCAACACTATCCAACTTACGCTTCTGCTTCTTCAACGGTGACATGTCGACTTTTCTCCAAGTCTGTCTTGTTTCCAGCTATACACAAACACACTTCCTGACCCAACATTCTTCTCAACTCTTTAACCCAGTTCTTGACCTGAGGAAGAAAAACATCACACATAGCTGAAACATTCTGAACAAGAGCTAAACACCAGGGAGTCCCTGACGATTACAACAAGAGAGAAAAGTCATCAGAACCAAACTAAATAGCTAAAGGAAATATTGGGATGTCTTCATCATCATAAACAAACTGACGGCTAAAAGAAATATTGGGACTGGGACATTATTTTGTTTCGAGTTTAAAGATCAAATAGGTCATTTCTATGACCAAGAAATTGTCTGTTCCTTGAACAAAGAGAAATTAAAGACAGAAAGTAGAAATGACAACAACAAAAAAGTAAATATCTACCACACGTGCATATAGAGAAGAAATAAATTAGTTGAAGAAGCACTTTCCACTGTGATAATTTGTTACCCAAATGAGTGGTGGCTGCATCTGTGTCAGAGGGAGAGGGAGAGGGAGAGGGAGAGAGAGAGAGAGAGAGAGAGAGAGAGAGAGAGAGAGAGAGAGAGAGAGAGAGGGGGGGGGTGAGGTGGAGAGAAAGAGAGAGGTGAAGAGAGAGAAGGGGGGTGAGGCGAGATAGAAGAAGTGAATGAGCGATACAGAGTGAGACAGAGACAGGGAGAGAGAGACAGGGAGAGAGAGACAGGGGGAGAGAGACAGGGAGAGAGAGACAGGGAGAGAGAGAGGAGTAGAAAGAGAAATAACTCAATAGAGGGATGAGCTCATAACATGAATGTAGATCTTATGTTACCGAAAGTACTGACTGATTCTATCATATTGAGCTTAAACCTTATTGTGGTTAACGAGTCTTTGATTTTGTTATATGTGTGTGTCTGTAGGTCTGTTTGTGAGTGTGAGCATAATAGTGTGTGTATATGTGTATATGTGTGTGTGTGTGGAATAGAGAATGTGTGTATTCTTGTGTGGATGTGTGCGCGCGTGTGTGTGTGTGTGTGTGTGTGTGTGTGTGTGTATGATTGGACGGGAGTGTGTTAAAACATCCCACCAGTGTGTGTGTGTGTGTGTGTGTGTGTGTGTGGATGATTGGATGGGAGTGTGTTGAAACATCCCACCAGTGTGCCAATGTCTGGGCAATAAAGAGCGATCTTATCTCCTCCTTTGGCCCTGCCACTAGTTTCTCTCTGGGAACGTCCAGAGCAGATTTGTGGAGCTGTGTGCGTCTTTGGTTGGGTTCCAGCAAAAATCTGGGGATGTTGTCACAGCAAATAGATCGGCTCAGAAGTGCCGACACATCGCTGAAGATATTCCAAAACCCCATTCTCTCAGATTCTGGCACTGCGCCAAAATGGACATCCCAGATTTTCGGGTCACCAGCGAGTCATCATTTCCCTGACATAGCTGGACACACCGCGAGTCTCACGTCTGGAGGGGGTTTTGTTTTACGGCACTTGCAACACAATAAGGAACAACATAGGGGGAACTGATATTTTTTCTTTCCTCATCCTTAACATCGTCATTTTCCCTCTACTTCATTTTGTATGTTTGTCACTCTGTTGTGACCCGCTATGTCTGGGGTGCCTTGACAGTCGAAGAAGTTGAGCGCCGTAAAACTAAATTATGTGTAGTTACGTCCAATTTGTCGATCTGATGACACGCCCCTCTCTCTCTCTCTCTCTCTCTCTCTCTCTCTCTCTCTCTCTCTCTCTCTCTCTCTCTCTCTCTCTTTTTCCGCCACACAAACGCCATACAGACAGACAAACAGACAAAAAGACAGACAGACAGAC